TCTAAAAAAAGGAGGAAGATGGGTTAAGGAAATGGAATTATAATAAGGAGGCTCATATTTTCATAAAACTTTATCAACTCTATAGAAAGGACCCTTTTTAATCTTATTATTTGGAAAGAATAATTAAAATGAAATTTGTATAATTGGATTATTTAGTACTTAAAAATGTGGAAATTTGGTTAGTGAATTTTAACATGATTATTATCCAGGAGAAGTATATCCATTCCAGAGAATGGAGAATAATTTGGATTTACTTATGAGAAAGATAGAGTATATCATTTATTAAATAATGATCGTAAAACATTTGGTGTAGGTATGGATCATGTTAATGGAGGTTCTTTGTCATTTTTATTAGAGAGAATTAATTTAACATTTTCTGATGATTAAGAATTTTCAAGTGTTTCTATAGGAATACATGATTTTGAACTTTTGAAATAAAAACCAGAAAAAGATTATTTCGATGATTTTTGGATGTAAAGAATGGAAATCTGGATTTATTAATAACCACGATAAGCATCTAAAAGTGCTTAAAAACCATTGTTTAGTGGATAATAAGGTAATTAATTAATAGAAACAAATGATATATCCACTTTTGGTTATGGCTAAGTAATCCTATTTTATAAGATAAATACCTTGCTAAATAATCTGTTTATAATTATTTAAGTGCTACATCTGTTTATTCTATTCCTGGAAATTGTAATAATACTAACATTTTACAAAGTATCTATGTTTCTAATATGTTTTTGAATGATTAAACAATTAAAAACTCAACTAATATTTAACTTAATGGTATATTAATTTAATAATAAACAAAACCATTTCCAACATTTGTTGTTGATGGAGTAGAATTATTGGGATAATTAAATTCTCTTACTGAAACTCCATTGTAATATTATGCAGCTTTGAAAATTTTTGAAGCATTTCAAAATTAAGATGGTGTTTAATAAATTATTTGAGCTGTCTAAGATGCAACTAAAAAGTGGTAAAATTAAGAATTGACATAAATTTGGAATTCACATGTCTCTGAATTAAGTTCCTGTTGTTAAGTACCATAATTTTTCAGTT